CTTGTGATGCTTTTTCTTCCTTTTCTTTCTCCTATTTTCGCCTGTATTTGGTGAAAAAATTGCCCATGCCATTACCATTCTTCTGTGGGAAAACCGAGCTAACACTCCTTGATAACCTTACGTGACTGAAAATAACAATTGTTATCCAAAATTTACTCATATTTCGTTTTGACAAAGTTTTCGAGACTATCAATAAATAAAATTCATGAATTATCATCAACCTAATTCGCCTTAGGCCATGAAGGACTGTTAGTTGAATTTTCACACAATACTTTGCGTAGAGCTGACGTTCCCATTGAGTTTTATATAGCCTTGCTTTTCCAAAAGACGTTCTCATCCAGGTTGAACTGCAATTTCGACCTCGAAAAGATCTTATCAACACCTCCCAGTAGGAATTGAACCATCACAGTGCAGCGTATAATCTCGAAAGGTTAACCACTACACGACATTGCCATGAGTGATCTTGGGTATCAGGGAATTTGTGAATTTCAAGGAAGGCCAGGCATTTTTTCATATCACATTCTTTAGTAGGATTGTCGACGAAGCAAGCTTAATTTGCTATGGCAATCGACGACATAACTTATATTTTGTTATGAGTAGGTTTTCGAGGCTACCAGTAAATCAGATCTATGAATTATGTTCATTCTATTTTGTTCAAGGTCCACCCTGGGTGGGGAACATTTTTTGGGAAAGCAAGGCTATGTGAAATTCAAGCGAAACGTCAGCTCTATTTATTGCATTGTGGGGAAATTCGACTAGCAGTCCTTCATCACCTAAATCAAAATAGGGTTAATATGACTCGAAAATACGAAAAGACTGGATTTCGAAGAATTCCTTAGTGAAATATTGTGGCATGACTCTGCATTTCGAAGGGAAAGATGGCTGGAGAGAATTCGTTATGTGATATCATCGGAAAGCGAAGGAGGATTACCGCGTAGGGAAGACTGTTGAATTATGCGAAGAAGCCCTTGGCTAACGTATTCGCAAAATTCAACAGTCTTCCCTACGCGGTAATCCTACTTCGGTTTCCGGTGAGACCACATCAAGAATTCCTTTTACCAACTCTCCCTTCGAAATGGAGAGTTATGCCACAACATAACCCAAATATTACCTTAATTTTAGAAATATACTTGCATGAAAAATAATTTGCATCGTGAACTGGAGCGGTAGATATAAGTTTGGTTGATTAACTTTCTCTCAATAAATGTGATTTGGAATAGGCCTGGCTTGCCTCGTAGGTAAAATTCTTCCTGTGATCTACGGGTATGCGTGGCTAATTTGATCTCATTTTCGCAACTCGGTCGAGGCAACAGGGAAAGTCTGCGTAACCTAACTAGTCCTGTGTGCTCTACTAGAGTTATCATGATGATTTTCAGCATCGGATCATCGACTTGATACATGCCCAGAAGTTTCGCCTGCATCGTCAGGGAAAGGTGCACTCGTTAGCATAGAGTTACGGCATATCAAAATGACAAGTAAGGCCAATCTATTTGACCAACATATAAAAACTTGGCTATATCGAAATTCCCAATTACAAGCAATATATGCTACATGTTGTAATCAGAGCTAAGACGATACACTCACCTGAGGCTTCATCTTCTTATCAGCTTGTCTGAGCATATCCTCGCGCCTCGACAATTTGACATGTTCCTTCCCAAAGGCATCTCGAACTGTGGATTCCGTGCAGGTGAGTCCATGCATAGCTCTTTGGAGGTTGTCGGCCATTTGTTGCAACGATTGGACGCAGGGCTGTGTCTCGCCAGTCAGCCGTGCCTCTTGCTGTAATGTTGCTCGAAGCCGTTCCAGTGAGTCGCGATGTGTATTGGTTACAACCGCCAGCCCATCACTTTTCGGGGCCATAAGATTAGAGAAATGCAAGAGGAGCTCAGAACGGAGTCTGTTTTTAGGTCATTTATCAACTAAATATAAGATACATTCACCATATTTCGCTTTTGGTGATAAAAAAATAGTAGTTGAATTTTTCAACAATGTTTTTGATTAGTAGACCCTGGGATCGAGTCCCGCCGGAGTTGTTGAACGACACATACAAAGTCGAAATTAAGGTCCATCCTAGATGAAAAAATTCTTTGGAAGGCAAGGCTATGTGAAATTCAACTGAGAGTCCTTCATTAGCTTAAATGAAATGGGGTAAATACAGCCTTAATATAATCATCGCTACTTTAAATGATTCTCTTTATGCCACGTTAGATGAATGACCACCTACTCGTCAATTTCAAAGGGACTGCGGGCCGACTTAGAAGTGAGAAAAAGTCATGCTTTTCGAGATAA